TGGTTATACAACATGTAGTAGATACTTGTCTTCTAAGTTGGTTTAAATAAATTATATATTTTTTATTGGTTTAACTATCTGATAAAAGTTTTAAAAAATTGAACTAATCCGAGAGAAAAGATATATTAAACCTTGTATATAAAAAAAGATATACCATCATCCCAAAATAGTGTCCGGGTCATAGGGACTTTCAAATGTTATATTGTTCTTATCCAATCAACTTGTTAGTATCAAGAAAAATAAATGCCCATATCTTATATGTAATATATATAACATTCCTCACGTCAGCTGCTAAAGCTATTAACCAATTCTATTAGCACAAAGATTTAAAGAAGTTAAAGTTGGTTTTGCCAAGAGCATTTGCTGGTACTTTTTTACTCTCAAACTTTATTATTTGTTTATGCAATATTATTAGTAAAATGATCGCATTTACGAAAAATACACCAAGAATTCTAAGAATTCTAGTTAGAATAAATCTAGTGAAAAATATTCAAAAAATTTGTCACTTTAGTAAAGTACAAGAAATCTTTTTCTGGAAAATAATATTAAACACGTGAGTATTTAAATTTGTGCTGCTGAGTAGATTTATTTATAAGACATTGATATAGATATAACATCCTAAAGTCTAGATTATATTGGAACGATTCAAATATTGACATTGTTTATATCTGAATATAGTTTTATTAAATAAATCAAGCTTACCTTATTTTATTTTTTAGATAAAATATTTTTTCGACGAATTTTGAAAATATAGAACACTTGTGTTCTTTAACATATTTTCTTCCAATAACATATTTTTGCTGCCTTGAACATATATTAAAATTATATGCATTACCTTTTTGAATATTATGATTAAAAAGAATTTTTTATAGCATTAGTAGAATTAAATAAAAAAAATAAAATTGGACTAATCATGTGACTTATTTTAGCATTTATTGATGCTAAAATACTATGGCATATATTTCAGTATTTAATCTATATAGTATTTAATAGTATTTAGTTTGTTAAAAAAATATGAAACCGTTATCAGTTATTACGTTTATTATGATCTGGTGCAAAAAGATTCGAACCTCAAATAGCTATGATAAAAAAAATTTTTTTACAATTTAATTTTTAATTTTTTTAATTCAATATAATTTTTAGTTAATAGGATTTATAAAAATAATTTACTATATAAATTTACTATATAGAATATATTGACATTAAGTCTGCTGCAAACATCCTATTATACATATGCTTATGCCAAATATTAATCTAGTGAAAAAAATTAGAGAAATTTATATAAGAGCAAAACACAAGGAAACTTTTAATGAAAATGATATTTAACACGTGAATATTTGAATTAATACCACAGAGTATATTTATTTGGGGGTGCCAGTAGGAACCAAGCAAATTGTTTCTAAGTAAATTTTTTTTAAAACTTAAAGTAAAATATCTTGACAATTATTAAACCAAACTTGATAAAATTTTTTTTATTTTAATTCTATATAGTTATAGAATTAAAATAAAAATTTTTTTACCAAGTTTGGTTTAATAGTGTTGAGATATTTTAATTTAAAATTTTAAAAAAACTCACTAAAAACAATTTGCTTGGTTTCTACTAGCACCCCCACCATTTATAAGATATTGATGTAGTTAGAATAGATATAACATCCTAGGGTCTAGGCTATATTAAAGCAATTCAATATTGATATTGTTCATATCTTAATATAGTTTTATTAAATAAATAAAGCTTACCTATTTTATTATTTCAGTTTAAAATGGTTTATTTTCAAGAGTTATGAGTTTTCGACGATTGCATAACAAGAGAATGGAATTAATCTTAATTCGGAAAACTAATACCACAATTCTATATAATGATAAAAACTTGTTATTATTCAAGTTTTGCTCAAAAAAAAAGAAAAAAAAAACACATTTATTATATAACAATTTTTTTTACAATATGTATTAATCTTTTTTTTTGTTCACACTCAAAGCGAACAATTAGTAGAAGAAAAATTTTTAATCAATGTATTTTAAAAATCATCATAATTACATAATAGATCTTTTTTTTTACATTGATTTAATCTATAACAAGAAAATTAATGTAATTTAAGAAACTATCAACATCATAAAGTATCAGTTGACATCATCATTAATTAAAGAAACTCAGAAATTAATCATAAACATGATCATAGTCAAATGGTAAAATATAAATTTCTTATTGATGCCACATTGATTTTTCATCTTTTCACTTTTACTATCGCATAGTTAAAAGAATAATGGTCAAAACTTATAATATGCCTTTTCAGACTCTGGCAGTTTATTCTATTCATTCCTAGCAATTTTTGAAATTTGACGAGTATCCATATTTGGATTATCTTTAATTTTTTCTTTTTGATATAACATAAAGGCATTTAATAGACATTTTACAAGATTAAAAATCAAGGCTGGAATGTGTATATTTAGTTCTGGCAATTCCTTGATTGTTTTCAATTTCTTTGTAGCATCTTCATAAATAAGAATTGGTGAGTAACCTTGTGTGATAAAAACTGATATTCTATTTATATGTTCAATATTTTGAAAAAAATCAGATTCTTTAATCGAAATAAAATTATTCGAAATTATTTTATTCATATTTACTTTTTAAAAATGCTTTTTAATAGTTTTAAATGTATTGTTAAAATATAGAGTTAAACCAATTTAGAAGTATTGAGTTAAATTGTATTGTTATTATTTCTTTTAATATTTT